ATCTTTACTCCTTTTGACGTTATCATGACAACGTAACTTCTGTGAAATTGTGTTGATTAGGCCTCAAAATAATTATATTAAAATCCAAATACACATACAATATTACAATATTGTATAATATAATATATTATATAATAATATAATAATAATATATATACAATATTCATAAGAAATGTAAAAATTGTGCAAAGTATTTGGAATACTGGCGTGATGGACATTTTAAAAAAATGTCTCCCCTAAAGTGATTTGATTCAAATGATTGCATCATGGTGGCATTATGCTTTGGGGATGGTTTTCTTGATGACGAAATTGACTTCTTTTCTATCACTAACTAAAGCTACATCAAATCAGTAGAAACAAAAAATACTTTAAAAAAAGCTAAATTAAAGGTTTGGAATGATTTAGTCAGAATTCAGAAACAAGGTAAATCTGGGAGCAAACTGCTTGGCTCAACCAAAGATGGCATAGACATTATGTTATACGTAGAAATAGTTTTTAAGACTATTTATCGCTTTTGTTTCTAATTAAAGGTGGGATTTTTTTAAGGGATATGTACACTTTTGATAGCTACTGAATTCTTCTTAACTGAAAATAACCAAACAGTGTGCTGTCAACTGGAACAAGGTGAGTAAAAAAGGACAGAGGTTCCTTTATTTTTATTCCTTGTACTTCTTTTTGTTGTTTTTGTTTTTATCTTTTTTAAACAATTGTTTAAAAGTAAAACACAGTATTACACATGGGTCCCAGGGGTGTACTGCTCAGAATAGACCTGCAACAACATTAAAAAATAATCTCTCATAAAAAATGACCTAATATATATTTACCTAAACTGAATCATAGTCTAACTTAAAAAACATACATGCACATATTATCAAAAACTCACATCGCCACTCATATGCCGCACACCTTTAAGTCCATCTATTCAGCATTATAGCTCAGGCTGTTTTTGTAACAAAACAAGCTCTAATCCTAAATTCAGGGAGCTGTGAATGTGCCTCAACAAATGGCAGACAAATGAGAAGGATTAGCAAGGGCCTGTGAAAGAGTGAAAGGTTTGCCATTGATCTACGGTGGTCCCATTCTCTTTCAGGGCCACTCGGTTTGAAAACCCCACAGAGTAAGAGCATACAGGGCCACTCCAGAGCCCCCTAGGCCACCGAGATACGCACAACAGCCACAATTAGTCTCAGGAGCTGTAATAGCGATTCAATAAGAGCTTTAAAATTGCGCCTTAGTCCGATAGACACCACCACCTCCCCTTCAAAACCCCTCCCAACTCTTCCATTTTCATCTACATATATAAGATCGGTATTATGAGTGGCGAAGGGCTCTTTTTTTTTCTTTCCCACCCACCACAGTTCTTTTCAGCCTCTGTGAGAGGAAAAAATTACCACACAGGGTTTCAAAGGTTTCAGAGGCTATGGTTTGTTGTCGCTGAAGCAGCATGACTTGTGCCCCTGTAGATTTTGGCTGAGGCCTTCAAAATGGGTTTCTATTATCACTTTCTTCTGTCACTCAGCTGCAAAATGAGGGTTAAAACATTCAGAGTATCCTTTTCTAGAAAGCCTGCTTTTGGTGATTTGAGTAGAATTAGTCATGTGGAGTTTTGATGCCAATGAAAAGCTATTAGGTTTTGTAAATGAGGTTTTTGCTAAAGACTGTGAATCTTCTGCTGTGTAGGTGCAGACATGAAGTTGCAGCCTATCTTGGACCTTACCAGGTGTTTTCTTTCAAAACATGAGTTCAATCTGCGCCTGAATATCTTCTGTTCTGATGTAATGGTGACACCTGTGCTAGTGACGTTAAGGAGGTAGGGAAAGAACTGTCAGATGTACCACAGCACCATGTTTTAAGGACATTCTTTGTTTATTCTGCACAGTGTTTAGGGTATTTCCTTATGCTTCCAGATCAAAGACCAAAGCCTTTGATGAGGGCTTCCATAGAAATGTTGCCAAAGAGAAGATTCTGACAGGACAGTGGTAGAGCAATGATAATTACAGTCCCCATTTACTGTCCCTGTACTTGGCACCAAAAGTCAGTCACTATCAAAAGAGCAGGAGAAAAGAGAAGTTCTTGGATGGTGTGAGAAGAAGAGAGAATAGACAGACTACAAAAGAGAAATAAAAAAACAGAAGAGGTGAATTAGTTCAAATATAAGCAGAAAATAAATTACTTTTTTTGTTTTGTTTATCTACAATTTCTCATTATATTTTTCTGTTTAAAGGAATTCATTAATTTGTTTATATGTAAGTGTGAAAGTATATAAATCCAACAAAATCTTAAAACACATGTAGGAAGATCAACTAGGCTGATGTGGATAATTTTCTGTGCATAATTTGTACAGGAGGTTTTCAGACAGTATTTGAGGTTTAAACATTCCCAATAAGCAGAAACAGATGATGACTTCTATAACATGAAAATAAAAAATGCTCTTAAAATGACCACACATTTAATGAAATCGTATTCCTTAGTTTAGATTTCCTTTTCTTTAGTATTTAGTGTAACTTAAATCCTTAATCTTTTAAGCCAAAGTTTACCTAAAGCTGTTATTTTAGATTAATCTCTCAAGCTGCTAATCAAACAATAACTAAAAAACTTTGGACTTAAAATCAATAAATAATAAAAAAAAAACTTTTTCAACAACAAATATCTTTCAGTTTGAAAAACAGGGTACAATAGTTAATATTTTCCTGATGGGAGTTCCACTGTTCAGTTATATAAGTTCCAGACAGCTGTGTCTTCTTTACTATTTTTCATTTGTTCTGATAAATACCTCTGTCTGGTGTAGGCAGAACCTACTTAGTATAATCAAAAGAGGATTAGCTGATGTAACCATAAAACAGAATCCATGTTCCTTCTTAGTTTACGCCTGAGGGGAGTTATATTAGGAATACACAGAATACCCAATAAAAGGTTAACTTTGCTTGGTAACCACTGAGAAGAACATCTGATTGGCCTATTTTTCCCCACAACAAAATACAACTATCTTGGATAAAACTCTCAACCAGTCTGTAGTCCATCCATCTTCATCCATCAGGGTTGTGGTGGCTGCCTATCTGCAGCAGTCTCTGGGCAAAAGGCAGGGTACACCCTTGGCAAGTCATCAGTCAATTATAGGGCAACACAGAGACACACAATCACACATAGACACCCAAGGAAAATTTAGAGACACCAATAGACTAGTCATGTATTTGGACCCCGAGTAACTGGAGAACCCACGCCGGCAAGAGGAGAACATGCAAACTTCATACAGAAAGATCCCAGGCCCGGAATCCAACCCAGAATCATCAAGCTGCCGTGCTACCAACTGCGTCACCGTGCAATCCCCCCATTCTGTAGTTATTATATATAAGGTGTTTATCTCAGTTAGTTAGTATTCCAATTATATGAAATGTGTTTGTTACCTGTACCACTTAAATTGGACCTAGTTTTTACAACATTTGCATACAAATTATTTTACTAAATGTTCCCATACTAAATTCAGGTAAAGAGCTTTTATGTACTCTGCTTTATCTACATGGAAAATTCTGCAAGGAGACTAAAAACTGTTGTTTTTTTTACACTGCATTATTAAGTCCAGACTAAGAGCACTCTAAGAAGCCTTACATTTCATTTTTTAAGACTGTGTTTATTGTGTATTGTTTACTGTAATAAGACTTGTTGCCACCGACAGAAAATGATAAGCGTTGGTTACTTGGCCAAGGGTATAACCTGGCCTTGATTTATCTGTCTGATCACTGCGCATGACTTTCACCTGGTATCAAAGCCTGCCATGCCTTTTGGAAGGGTTGGCTCTTGCTCACCCCAAGCAGGCTCTATTTATTGTTGAGACTCCTCTCTGCTCGCTGGAAAGATCACCAGGCTACCTGCAACTGAAAAGATGCTTCATGTTTAAATTATATAACAAAATTTTATCCAACAGGAGATCTTCTGTGTGAAGGCTTCTCCTGCAGTGAGTTTTGATCTCTAATGGGGATCTTGTAAACATTAAATTTAAACAGTCAGTTTCAGAGACCAGATAAGAAGTCACAGGAGAGATAAGAAAGTTAGCGTGACTCATGAATTTTCCAGATTTTATTTGGGTTTTCCAATCTTGCACGAAAGCACTCAAATGACTTAGCTTAAATGGAATTTAGGATTGTTTTTCTATGAAATAAACGTATATATACAACCGACCAATAACTGAAAACTGCTACATACAGTAAGCGAATCACAAACGTACCAATATCCAGTAGTAGTATTGTTATACAAACTGAGCCAAACAAAAAAAGGTATACAAGTATTTTCTTAAAGTCCAACAACAAAGGCAAAAATAACAATATACATCAACTTTGACGGTTGACGAGTAAAAATAGTATTAAATATTTTAAATGTTCTATCAGCAACAGTTGTGTTGTCTAGGGTTAGAAAGTCCTTACAGAAAGGCCATATGTATCAAACTATTTACTACTTAGTTTAAAGTTGATGATGGTTTGATGTGTCTGCTGACATGTTCAGTATGAGAAGCCAGATGACATGCTTCATGTTTTATGTTCCTGCTTTCTGATCTATTATCAAAAGGCTGAGAATGAGGTCAGATCTGACAGAAAGGAGCAGAAACATACGAAGGAAGTTAAAGGATATCAGCAGTTTGATGACTTGAGTCTCTGCAAGTCTCTGGTACATTTGCTGGTCATTTAACCTCCTCATCATTTTATACTTTTGCAGATTTTAGTCCTGACATTTTCTAAAGCAAAATGGTGCCATTTGCCATATGGCATTTTGAATCAACCATGCATAAAGTAACATATTTAACTCCATGATGTAAGTCATATACTCATACTTATTGAAGTAAGTTTTTGACTTTAATAAATGTTATTAAAGCTACTTTGGTTTTATATTCTCTCAAATTGCATGATTAAATTGGCTGAAATGGAGATATCAACAGACAAAAATTCAAACTGACCAAGTGTCTAAACTGAGACAAATTAAATTTTAGATTAAGTTCAAAGGTTAAAGTTTATTAAGATTAATGAATGATAGATACGATTCTAATCTAGCTGTGTGTTTTAGTTTACCTTAGGCCTACTGTAGGCAAAAGAAAATAACCTCAGGCCGGAAGGCTCTGGGTCTGATTGCCTTTTCACTAATCCATAAAGCCAAATTTGTACGTTTAAACAGGCCAATTTTATTCCCATAAACTTGAATATTTGCAAACCTTTCATGTTATTTATTTCCCTTTTATGGTTTTTAATTGTATCTTTAATTTGGACAAATTTTTTGTCTTGTCCATTTTTAATCAAGCTGATTTTTGGAGCTTCTGAACCGTCTAAGATAATTTTAGGTGACGCAAAGGCAAAATCCTTTCTTTAGACTATGAATATATGAATAGTGCATAACACCAGTTTGTTGTCCCAGTGGTCAAAGTGGGAATACCAATTTACCTCATGGTTGATGAAAAATACCATTGAAGAAGTTCCATTTTATACCATTTCTTGCCTCTTTGCCAATACTAATAAAAGGGCCAAATGACCAGCACTGTACCCCTAATGTCAGAGTTTGAACCCTGATTTTAAAACATTTCCCTTAATCTACTTTTTATATCTTATTTTGGGTTTGAAAGTGGGAAATAAATTAAACCATGGGAAGCTCATTAGGTTGTAGATTTGTTTACTCAAAGAATCCAGATTATAAAATGTGCCATATGTAAATGTACTTTGTACCTTATGATACATTTTTATGCAAAATATGCATTACATATTTTAGTTTTTACTTTAAGTGTCTTACTTGTTTTTTATCTCTTAATTTGGCTTAAAGAAGTGAACATTTCCTAAGATGGAAGCTAAAATTGTTTTGATTGTTGGTTTGTTTTAATGTAGGTGGAAAACATCTGATTGATTTTTGAACTGAATTACTATGTATGTTTGGTTTAAGAAACATCTTGAAATCTTCTTAATAATAAAAACAGTAAAACTCCAATGTCTTCTCCTTCCTCTCTGATTTAAAGCAATATCATAATCGCTTTTGTTTTAATACTTTTGACAGTAATTAGGTCTCACATATTTCAGTGCAGTTCACATACACTTATAAGTGGGAAAGTTGCAGAGAAAATGCAATATATTTAGTTTCAGACTGCACAGTATTATATTAACCTCATCAGAAAATGTAGAGAATAACTTAATAAGCAGATACTCTAACTCTAAAATGTTACAGACCTCAGCAAATGTACATTTATGTAACATGAGGATGGATAAATAAAGAGGAAAGATTGTTGTCTCATCTAGATCGGCATCAACTCAAGAGGACTGGTGAGCCAAGCAGCTGCCGATAAGAGTTCTGACTCGGACACGCCTAAGAGGGAAGCATCGGCAGGAAGTGAGTGGATGGGTGCCTTCGTCGAGCCTTGTGACCTCGCCGTGGTTTCCCTCGTCCATTTAGAGAAACAAACATCTGCCTGCCACCATGCTTCCAACGAAGTGAGGCGTAGGTGTTGTAGCCGTTCTCCTCAATGCGTTCTTTGAACTTGCAGCTTGGGCTGTACTTCACCTACAGTCAGACAGAGAATGGAGACGTATAAATGATATTGTAAGAGGAAGGTCTACATACAACACTACAGGGGAGCGTTGACCTAGTGGTTCTAGCAGTGTGCTTGTGCTCTGAGAAGGTTGCCAGAACCCGGTTCGATCCCCAAAGCCTGCACTCCGAGTTCCTGAGCAACACCCTAACCCCACACTGCTCCCCGGGCTCCACAAAATGGCAGCCCACTGCTCCCCAATGGGATGGGTTAAATGCAGAGAGTGAATTTCCACATTGTGAGACAATAAAAGGATTTATATTACATTACAATACTTTTTTAAAGCTGACAGATTTTCATGCTCTGCCATAAAGGGTTAGCTTCTTTGTAGTCTAAATAAGAGAGTCTATAATTGCACTGACAGATTTTAATGGCTTTTTTTCTACCTCAAATAATATTTTCTTTATTCAAAATGAACACATGCCCCAACATTGACCATAATAAATGAAGCAAACATTTTCTAATCTCACTGGTGACTTTGTTAGGTTCATCTTGCCAGAAAGGGATGAAACCCTCTTTTGACTTGAGACTTTGCCTAATTTGTTGGGGCATGGATTTAGCCAGGTGTCAGAAACAAACAATTTTTAATTATTATGATCTATGTTCACGCAAAAGCATTAAACATTTGATGTATTTGATAAAAAACTGCTGACTGCTGAGGCTACTGAATTTTTGAGAACCATTTTTTATACTAAATAAACTACTTCACAGTCATTTGAAGCTTTATGACATCAAGCATAGCCCTACAGAAGAAAAGAGCAGTGGTCATAAAGTGGTAGATACATACTGGCTGTAGTTAAAAAATGCTCAATTGATATGCCCAAAATACCTTTATGTCACCAGTCAATCATCATGTCATCATGTTAATGCTGAACTCACTTGATGAGATGACGGGAGTCTGGTGTGCTAATGCTTGGTTGGAAAGAAAACCTGCAGCCACACGGCCCTTTCTGGAACCAGTTTGACACCCCTGGTTTAGGTAGTTAACAGTAGCTACGTTTACATGCGCAAAATTTCCCCGATCCGATCCAAACCTTGGTTGATCGGAAATTCAAAATCTCCGTTTACATGGACACTAAATGAAATGATCCGATAATGACGTGTGTATACATGTATCAAGCGTTGGATCAGATTAAATCTTTTAAGCATGCGCAGAACTTCCTGCCAAACTTGGCAGTTCTGTCTGCGTCTGGTTTTTGGGAGGCCTGACAAACGAAGCGCTCGGAGCGAGCGGAAAGAAAAAAGGAGAGAGGAGGAAAAAAGCGCTTGGCAGCGAAATGTCCGAGAGAAAATGTAGAGAATGAGCGATTGAACCGGCGTGGGAGAGCGAGTGGGCTGTGGAGAGGAAGAAGAGGAAGAGGAGGAGGATAAATTCCTGCTTCCTGCAGCTTTAAATTAACTTATAAGTCGGCGTTCCTAGACTCCCCCCGCCATGTTGTTCACAGCGAGAGAGACCGGTGATTTCCTGTTGTTGACAAGGCGGAAAACGTCACTCTGACGTCGCACACATGCGCAGTGAAGATTATTTTACTCTTTAGATCCGAATGGGTGTTTACATGGACGCCAATCGGAATGGCGATCGGCAAAAACCACCTCTCTCATTCGGAATTAAATTTAGATCCGATCGGACCGAATCGGATTAGAATCTTCAGTCTGACATGTTTACATGAAACATTTTTGATCTGATCAGGCCTTCAATCCGATTAGTTGTGTCCATGTAAACGTAGCCAGTGTGTTACTTCTTGAGCTCCTTGGGTTATTTACTGTCACAGGTAGGTGCTACAGCCAGGGAGTAAGTGTTGGGACTGGTATGATTTTAGGAGGGTTGGCCCTCACACGCTGAAATTAGGACCGGTCCACCGAGCAAATGCCTGGTATAATAGATTACCAATCCAAGGCTGATATAGATTTTGTTGAGTTAATCAGACTGTAGGGATTTGATTTTTCTGTTAAAAAATAGAAGTGGACCTAATTTAAGAATTTGCTCACCCTGATTTCAGTAAAGCTTGGCGTACACTGTGCGATTTTTTTCAACCGTTGCACACTGCTACTGCTCACACTGTATGACGAAACCCTGAGTTCACAGCTCACGATTTATGTTCGGCCCAACGCGATCTAATTGCTCACACTGTACGTCTTAAAACTACGTCGGACTCAGCTCCGCATTGAGATGGTGCTGGTTTATTCGGAAGCCATATGAGTAGAAGAGGAATATGAAGCTCACTAGAGGAACGCGCTGCCTTGGAAATTTGTGCAAGTTTGTGCTGAAAGCCCTAAAAAGAAAAGGTGACAACATATTTGGACAAAGACATGGCTGAGCAAACGTGGCTACTACGGTCTGTCAATTTTACAGAAAGAACTCCATTTCACTCATTGCATCCCTGCCTTGCTGACGTGTTTACATCTGAGAGGAAGAAGAAAAAAAAAGAGTCCTTATTTACGCATGCCCACTGAGCGGTTTGCCCGTCGTGGGTAAATTGCTCAGTTTATTCAAACATGTCTGATTTTCTCCCGACCTCACGATTCCTGATCGAGAGGTGGTCGTGAGAGGCTGATCACAGCTCATAACCCCCTGTACACTACACGACGCACAATCAGGCTAAAAGGTGGCCTGATCGAAAAATTCTCGCACGAAATTCTCTCCCTGAAAATCGCACAGTGTACGCCCTGCTTAAGTAACAAGCATCAACAAGCAATTGTTTTCCTTGGAACTGGATACTTTCTGTTTTTGTGACCCTTCTCAGTAATTCATCTTCTGCTTATTGCTAAAGGTTAACGTATATATCGCAACAATTTAGTCTTCAGCACATTCATGCTGCAATATGAATGCCTGATTTCCAATAGTGTTGACAAATGGGATAGGATTTTCCCGAAAGTGAATGCTAAATGTATTCAAACATTTGAAAACTTCTGACAAATCTGTTTTTGTCAGTGGTCAGAATTAGCATTTTCTTTTTATTTACCATCTTCTTAAAATAGAAGTTTTTCTCATTAAGATATTTAGTTGCGAGACTTTTTGATGCTATGTTCCAGATTATCATTATACTGTTAAAATAAGGTACAAAAATACCAGGTTATTCCAAACCTTCCATAATTTTCTTGTGATCTCTGGATTCTCAATGTATTTTATTTCATGAAAGGTTTTACAGTAGTGATTAAGGTGTTATGTTTCACCAGTAATTATCTGCCATTATTTATCTTGTATTACAAACCACCTAATACATATATAATCATTTTCCTAACATTGCTGTATATTCTGTATAATATGTATAATCTGTGCATGTAGCTCCCATATTCGTATTTTTATTTATATTTATACACAACCTTTTACAGTCCCTAACTATTACTTTTTGCTTGTACATACACCTGTAATAATATTTATATCCTGTATAGCACTTCTGGATAGATGCAAACCACATTTCGTTGCTTTGAGTTGAATTCTATTCTAATTCGATTCTTTTCTTTTTGTTGTCTGGTATTTCTTTCAATATGTAAGTGGCTGTAGTTGTCATCACACATTTAGTGTCAGATTTTATCAATGAGAGGTGATTATTTTTTCTAAATTTGTGATGTTAAAGTAACAAAGAGAAGATACCACAGAAAAATGTGAATGAGCGCAGCTTGGTCTTTGTCCCTACATGACGTTTTTTTTTTTTCCTTTTCATCTATTTTAAAAGTATAAAGCTGGGTATGGCTGCAGGTATTCTCAGTAGTGCACCAGGTGTATAGCTGTCATTGAAAGCAACATTCTGACCTCTGTTTGGATTATCTCATGGAGGATTTTCCTGAAATCTTTCTTGTTTACTCATCTCACACTCCCTTTGGCCAGAATTTGAAGTATTGACTTCAAGAAACAATGTCATAAAGTTGGATACGCACCGATCCAAAGAGTGTGCCTCTCTTGGACATGGCTAAGTACAGCCCAGTACTGACAGATTTGATGGCAACAACTCCCACACTGACGGATCGGATTTCCATCAAGCCTGAAAAACAAAAAAGAGGGGGACAAGAGTCTGGGTTAGAAACATTAAAGCTGTCTCTGTTTCACCATCAAAGACCTCTCTGCCTTATAAGGACATCGAGGTAAGATCTTAAAGGACATGGCAAGATATAATGTTGCCGTCTTCCCCTCGCTAAAAGGATGTGTACAATGTAGGTTCTTGATATTATGCAAATTCTGTAGCACAAACACACCTGCAGCACATCAGAGTCTAAACCTTCTTGTTTTATGTCTGCCCTGCTACATACATCAATGAAAACCTTTTTCTTTTCTAAATGTGACACTCTATCCTGATCCCACCAAGTGTTGTTTACTAAAGGAAATAAAGCCTGTTTCTCAGTTCTTCTTAAGTGGGCTCTCTAACCCACTTAGTGATTTCAAACAAATGCCACGTGGTCTGCTTTTTATCTGCATAAGAAAATAACAGCTGCTGCCATGACAGGTTTGTTTTTAAGGTCACCTCAAAGCGTTCTGAATAGACGTCGATTGAATGAGATAATGATCTCTTTTATCTTGCGTCTTCCATTTGCAGGCTTACACCTTCAAAGACACCTTGATACAGTTGCCGATATGAATGATGTGAATCTTGTTCATTACTGCAAACCATGCAGGTATTTGCCGGAAAACTAGATCAACCCTTTAACTTCCTTGTCAACCCCCAACCTTCCTTTGCTCAACCAGACAGTTAAAAGTTAAGATCTAATCCATGCTTGTACATAGATTATTTCTATGGCTTTTGTAATTAGGTATAAGCCAGAAAGACACGGTAAGGCTTTGGTGAGATATAGCTCAAATTTAAACCATCCATTAAAGAATAAATAAATGATAACTACACCATTTTATCCCAATCGATCATGGGGAGAGCATACATTAATATGTTAGTATCATATGTCCTTACTTAAATAGAGCAAGAAATAGACTTTTTAGAGAAAACAGCATCAGGTTTTATTTTGCATTCCTTCACTCACTTTCCATTAACTTTAATATGGGTACTGTACCTTTGTTCAAATGTTCTAATTAATGGGAAGCTGAATTTGATCAAAGATACAGATTGTTGCAAAAACTATTCACACCCACTGAATACTATCATATTTTCTTAATTTACCATAGTTGATATATGTAATTTGTATAATTTTGTAAACCAACAAAACATGTTTTTTATGTGATATATATTCAGTCAGTATTTCCATGGAAAGGCCATTCTATTTTGCATAGTACTGTAGCTTAGGCAGATTGGATGGAGAAGGTCCTGATCTACTGGAAACCAACGTCAATCTTAAATGTTTTTGCACACTGATTTTCTTCTTTTTTTTTTCACAGTGAATAATGGTTCTCCCTGTATTTTGCTCCATCCCCTCGTCCCATCAACTCTGAGCAACTTGCTGCTTGTCATGATAGTAACATTTTGATTTTCATTTATTCTGTTTTTGCTGTAAAGATATATATCATTTTGAATTACTGCTTAGTTTAGCTTCCTTTGTGTTTAATTAATTTATTTATTTATTTCCTGCAGTAGTTTACTCTAATATATGTTTTTTTGTTATTAGGTTATGTTTTCCCATTGAATATTAGTTATTTAAATTTCTCCAGGCCCTTCCCCATCCTCTAATTTTCTCTTTTGATCTTTCTGTTTCATATTCTATAGTCTTATTTGTCATTCTGTAACTGCCTTTTAGAGAAAGCCTTGGAAGCCATCTGCTGTGCCTCTTGGCGAGTCCTCAGCGGCACCTCTTCGTGGGTCAGTACTGTTGCAAGTATAGCGTCCAAGGTTCCTGTGCCACAGGTGCCTCCTCTACAGAGACTCTTTGCATCGTCATCCTCCCTGCCATCCTCCAGATACATTTTTTTGTTGTCACAACCTAGACCCTCTGCTTTAACATCGGGCACCTTGCTGGGAGGGGGTCCCTCTACAAACCTCAACAAACCCAAACACTGCTGAAGACATGAAAACATGATTTGCTGCGGAGGTGGTTTTTTCAGGGCTATCTATTGAATTTTTTATCATACATTCTTTCACCATGAATGTCAAAATGTTGTAATTTGAGAACTTCTTGAACATGTTTGCTGTGTTCCCAATATGGTTGTGGCAATCTGCAGGTGGCCTTTTTTATTGCTTTCTTTGAGCTGTTGATTTTTCTTTAACACGCTTTTCCATGTAGCCCATATTTGTGGAGTGCAAGCCTATGGCCATGTCCCAGTACCCACATCATTCTTTTTGCTCAAATCGTTACATGCATTAATGAACTGACTTCCACGAAAGCTGCTTAGATGTATGCTCAGCTAAAGTGTCAGGGAAGGGCAAAAAAGGGTGTGCCAAATCAATCATCACCCATCAATAGGAATGCTCAACTGAGAGATAATGTGAGTATTGGCATATGGCTTGATTGTTGTTTTGTTGACATATTCTCCCACCTGAGTTATCATGGTCTCTTAACCAATCCAACTCTGATCGTTGACGATGTGTTTTGTTTCCAGCCTTAATTATGCTTTTTTACCACTAATCAATGCAGCCCCCACAGAACAGCTTTGTGGAGGCTGTTAACACAGAGGTTGATTGGATCTCTTCACTGTTTATGCATCTCTTGGGCCCTCAGAACTTTAGATAGAAACAGACATGCACCCCTATCTTTGTATTATGAATCAACCCCATGCTTCCTACAGTTCTTAGCATCACCTGTTTAAAGTGAGCTCATCTTTTTTAGCTAACTCTTGATGAAGAATCTAAGTGCTCTTATCATTCTTTCTACTCTGACAGGGATGGGTAAATGATGCCTTGTCTTAGGTCTGGGACAGCTGCAGGGACCCAGGAATGCTTTGGTTTAGTTCATCCAGGTACCTCTCCAGATGCACCCCCATCATTCCTGCACTGCCTCTGATCCTCGGAGGAAACATTAACCCTTTAAAAGGTTTTTTCCTTTTTTTTCCTTCTTTTTTTTCTTTTTACGAGCTGTGTTTACAAGCACCTGGTGTACTTTGTGGTGACACCTGGAGCATGCCAGGGACTTGTGAGCAATAAGCTGAAGCTTGGTTGATAATATAGGGTCTTGCAAGGGTTTATGGGGTATTAGTTCATTCCAGTGAAAACCGCTGGTGCCTGAAAGTGGTGGCAACAGTAACCGCCAACATTTGCTGTTTGGGCTCCAGAATTGAATTTGATTTGATTTGTCACATTTTTACACCTTTTTTCCTTAAAAATGTACAACTGGTTATTGAATGTCTCTTTTGGGGTTTGAAACATAGAAGAGTGCAGAAAAAAATTGTGATTTTATTTTATTTTTAAAAAACCCCTTTTTTTTTTTTTTTTTAAATATTGTTCCTACCTGTTGGATTTATCTGGTGTGGCTTGTTGAAAAAAAGATCTAAAGAAGTGAGAGGGGAAATTCCCACTCACGTCAAGGAATCACTTAGACCCTTGAAGCTTGACCACACATCTATAAACGCCAGGGAGATCCATATAAATCACAGGCCACCATTTGAAGAGTCTTACCATTGTGTGTATTTTATTTGGGCTTTACATGAAGAAAAGGTGCCTCTATGATGTGTTAAATATGTCTCAGTTAAATCCTAGGTTAGCCTGGGTTAAATCAAACCAGATATTTAAAAGCTGTGACAAATAATACATTTATTACTAGTAAATATATATATATATATATATATATATATATATATATATATATATATATATATATATATATATATATATATATATATATATATATATATATATATATATCATTGTCATTATTTTTTTTTTGTAGCAATCTGTCACAATACACGTCTTGACCAAGCTCTACTGTTTGGCACAATTCTTCCCTTCTTCCTACTGTGATTTTTCTGGTTATGGGGTAATCTCTTATCTTGGTGACCTAACAGGTGTCTGTCAGATTTACTTCTAGTCCATTCATAAAAAGCATTTTTTATGGTTATTAGTTTTCATCAATGTTTGGACGCACTATGGTAATAGAAAAATATTATTTTTGTATTCAACCATTTTGTTATTGATAAGAAATTAAATGAGCATCTTTAAAAAGTATGATATAAAATTATTAAATTATCTAAAATGAGTATTGGTTTTGGAAAAAAAGAATAGTATGTGCCTCTACCTTATGATTAAAAAAAATCATGATTTACATTACAGAAATTAAATTGTTGCAATAGCTGATGATGACCAGATTCTAGTATGTATCTACAGATATGTTTTACCATTTCGTGATGAAGTTGGAAGGTCTCCTTGTTCTCATCCTTAAATGATCAGTATCCAGTCAGCAATGTGACTTTGCTACTCAAAAGGTTACTTGCAGTCAGAAGAAACATCCTATTCGAAACAGAACATTTAAAAATGTGATGCCTTTGTGTTTAAGAGAACCTTTGATCCTCCTTAACCTCCAAGCAAATGATAGCTATTGCTAAAGAATATAAATACGTAGAAAAACAGTCAAGAAATTGTTTTATCAGTATGAGACATTTTAATGAGTTGCGGAAACAATTTACATCCACTTTCATATTTGGTGATGATTAAAAGTCGGGGAATTCTCTTAAATGTATTTAGGGAAGAATGTATATTATTCTTTTATTAAATTGTGCTTTTGTTTTGAAAAAGTATGAGGATTTTTAAGCTAATAAATAATTCAGTAGGTTTGGATATCTTTATGGAAAAACAAAGGAAAAAAAAAAACAACAACTATGAGAATTAAATAAATCTTTTGCAATTGGATCCAAAGGTCAGCACTTGCCTCATTCTCCAAAGCAAGTATCAACTGATGGCCCTATTGAGCAAAAGAAAAAAGGCACTTTTGGCTCCCCACTTGCAATTGGCAAGATCTCTTAACCTTTGACATGTTTTGGCTGGGACTGTCAATAAGCTCAAGCTGCCATTACAAGCAAATCCTGCACTATACGTGTCTAGTCAACTGTGGACTGGCCATTTATTTCTCCTCTAAGGGATTTTTAAAGCAGAAAACGTCTTTTACCCAGACTCTCTTT